TAAGCCCTATGGAACTGGAGCTGTCACTCAGGCATATAGTGAAGTACATACAACAGTCAGAACTAAAAGAAGAATTAATTCAGTTAGAACGCAACCAAACAGTAAAACCTGCAAGTACACTTGCTGGACTGATGCCATTTTTAGATGAACACAAGATAATTCGCGTGGGGGGAAGGTTAGAAGCATCATCACTTACATATGATGAAAAGCATCAGATAGTGCTTCCATACAATAACCCTATTGTAAAACTGATAATGAAAGACATACATGAACGAAATATGCACTGCGGCGGTCAAGCACTGCTGGCAGCAGCGAGACAAAAATTTTGGCCGATCAAGGGTAAAATTATGGCAAGATCAACTATTCACCATTGTGTTCGTTGTACTAGATGTAAACCAGTTACTTTTGAACAAGTCATGGGAAGTTTACCAAGGCATCGAGTACAGCCAGACAGGCCATTTTTTAATACCGGAGTTGACTTCTGTGGGCCTTTTTGGGTGCATTATAAGGTGAGAGGAAAACGTCCGCATAAGGCATACCTAGCAGTTTATTGTTGTTTTGCGACAAAGGCAGTACACTTGGAACTGGTAAGCGACTTGACAACAGAAGCATTTATCGGATCATTAAAACGTTTTATCGCACGACGCGGATGCTGCCAAAATATATACTGTGACAATGCAACGAATTTTGTCGGTGCCTCTAACAAGTTGCAGGAATTAACAACAACAATCCATTCCAATGTAGCTCAGGAACAAATAACAAAAACTTGCAGCAACAAGGGAATAGCATTTCACTTCATCCCTCCTCGTGCACCTCATTTTGATGGACTATGGGAAGCAGCGGTTAAATCAGCAAAGTACCTATTGGTCCGAAGCGTTTCAACTGAAACGTTAACGTACGAGGAACTCGAAACCGTCATTATAGAAATAGAAGCTATTTTAAACTCACGACCTTTAACACCAATGTCGTCTAATCCAAATGATTTGCAGGCTCTCACACCAGGTCATTTCTTAGTTGGTGATGCACTAACAGCACCCGTAGACGCAACATGTGAAAAGGTAAAATCATCTCTTTTGAATAGATGGAATCTGGTTGCACACTTAAAACAAGAGTTTTGGAAAAGATGGCGGGCAGAGTACCTAATGGAACTACAGGTTCGAAACAAGTGGCGTGAAGAATGCAAAAACATTGAAGAAAATACACTGGTGATCCTTAAAGAAGATAATGTACAACCTTTGCAATGGCCTTTAGGGCGAATAATGAAGACATATAAGGGTAATGATGGATTTATACGAGTCGTAGATGTCAAAACCGCAACAGGCATGTTAAAGCGACCAATTCACAAACTAGCACCCTTATTTCCTGAAAACAAACCT